CCCCAGCTAACCCATTCACGAAGAGTGGCCACACATTCACATTCACTTTTAGAGGTGACTGTCCTCTACCTGAAGGGCAGTCAGAGGACAAACGTCCTTTTGAAGATACTCTCTGTTTAAGGGGCTGTCCAGTCCAACTCTTATTTCAAGATAATCAAAAGAAGGATGTCCAGGGACTCCAACACGGCCTGTCCACAACAAGCAGCTCTATGGCAGCAGATTCAGACACACAGGTCGTCCAGTCATGGTCTTCCCAATTCGGAGTGAGATGCATTTTTAAATTTTAAAAATCTTTCTGAATTTGCATCTGTATGGATACATTAGCACATATAGTTCACATAAATCCCTGCAAAATATGCCACTTACTTTTTATAAAATGCTTGATAATGCATTTTTTAAAAATTGTACAGTGCTCTGAAGTTGAAGAACATCAGGGATAAAAACCCCAGATAGCCAGAGACATATCTGAAAAGATGCTTGGCTTTCTATTCTCCAATGGGGAAAGAGAGCCATTGTTTCATTCAGACTGACTGTCACACCTAATGTGCTACAATCTGAGATATGTTTTGCACCAAATTCAGTCTAACCTATTTAAGTCTGCAAAACACTTCCTCCAGTCTGTTTTAAGAATGTTAAAAATCACCAGGTGGGGGCTTTTCTATCCTTCCCACTACATCCTCTTTATATTCTCTCCCCACCAGCTTCTTCACATAACTGAAACAGTTCTAGTTTTTGGATCCTAACTAAAATGATTTCAGAAACTCAGACACTTATGCTGAACTTGTGATAAGCTGGTCTCATACCCTCTCTTGCTTTTATAAACACTAGATCATTTCCCCACAACACAGCATTGCTTCCATCTGTGTTGGACTACAATTTCCAACAAACTGAAGACCATGGGAGTTGTCGTCGTACATAACTGATAAGTGGGCTGGGTTTGTGGGAGATTTCATTGTATAATAATGACATAATAACAATAACTTTAATAATTCAGTGATATAAATTACAAATGCAATCACATGACCCTAAGGGTTAAAAGAATTGAGGATGGGAGTGGAGATGTCTATCTTGTTTTTAAAAATCTCTGCTGGGTGGTAATTCTTGGCAGATTATCTAGTTAGTAGGAGAGGCTGTTCCACTGCTGTGCTTTCTTCCTCCTCTTTCCCTACTGCCCCAAACAAGCTTCAACCTGTCCCAGGGAGGCAGGAAGTCCTCAATCTCTATTAAAGGTGGCAGAACAAGAGGTGGCATAAATTGCAGAAGAGTGTCTGGGTGTGACATGGACACTTTCTGTGCAAAGAGGAGTAAGAAGTCCAAACTACACTTGTTTCATGAACTGCTAAAATTTTCCGGGGTGGGAAGGGAAAGCAGAACTGACAAAGAGACTGGGGACAGCTGAGGCCTACTTCAGGTGTCTCAAAGCAGAGGAAATAGGACCAGGCCAGGCTGTTAGTCCAGAAGGGTGACCCTCCAGATGATGATGATGGGCTGCAAGTCACATCAGCTCTAGCCAATACTGCCAATTGTGAGGGATGATGGCAAGTACAGTCCAACAACATATTGAGAAGTACATATTCTTCATCCTTGGTCTAGTCCAACCTGGCACCCTCCAGGTGTGTTCGACTGCAAATCCATCATCCTTAACCAACATTTCAGAAAGGGACTGCTGGTTTGCTTGGCACCAATTTTTCAAGTTATCAGACACTGATCATTCCTATCATCCACTACTTAATCCCTCTGCCAGAAGATACAGTACCACAGATTGAATCAGAGGTTTTGGCTTGCAAAGTGTCTGTGTGCTGCAGTCTCTATCCTATGGGATCAAGAAGAAAGGGAAGAGACTTATTGAAGAAAAAGGACCAAATTCAACCCTGCAAGGAACAAGTCTTCTTATCTAGACAAAGCCACAGACGATAAATCTATCAATGAGTACTAGTCTCGATGGCTAAATGCTATGTCTTAAATTAGAAAGACAGTATGCTTATCAGTATTAATTTGGGGGAACACAAACAGAAGTCTCCTAATAGGAACATCTTTCAGAACCCATGTGACTCTGGTTCTGTTAAGGATTTGCATTGGCTGCCAACATGCTTCTAGTCCAAATTCAAACCCTGAACAGCTTGGGATGTGATTATTTGAAGACACGCCTCTCCCTATATAAACCGGCCTGATCACTGCTGGGGAGGCCCTCCTCTGTGCTCCACAACTGAGAACACTTCAACATGTGGAGACATGTGGGAGGACTCTTTCTGCCATAGCACCATAAGTGTGGAATATCCTCCCTTGGAAGCTTGATTGGCACTGATACTGGCATTATTTCAGTACCAAGTCCACATATGTTTATTTATAAGAAACTTTGCTGGGTTGAGGATCATGGCCTGCACAGATCTTAGTGCAATGGGTTGAATGTTTTAATTTTATGTTTTAACTTTTTTTAATTTAAAAATCTTTTAAGCATCTCATGTTCTTAAATTGTTTTAGACAGCTTGGTAAGCCGCCCTGAGATCCAGTGATATAGGGTATCAGGCTGCATAGCTAGAACGTGGGAATTCAGTTCCCCATGTGCATTCCAGAAGAGCCAGCCTGTGCAGCCTTGGTCAAGCTGCATAGCCCCAGGGTGCCCCTAGAAGAAGAGAATGACAAACTACTTCTGAGTACTCTCTACTCTCTACCCTAACTCACTAAGCTATCCAGCCAGCATAGCTGCATTACACAGTAAGGGACAATTACACTCCTTTTGCAATTTAATTGTAACTTTTTTATACAGTAGTTGCTTTTATAATTCACAAGTATATGGCCTCACTACATAGTAAAGGAGGAATATCACATTGTCCACCATCTCACATCATTTGTGCTGTGCCTTACACTGCTGTATTCAGCTCTACTGCAAATGTTGGTGGACAAAAGTGAACAGAAGGAGAATGCTTTCTCAACCAGATCTTTTAAAGGAAGCAAACAGGTAACAATTTTAATTACTTTAATAATTAGGAAAATAAATGTACTACGTAAGCAGCATCGCTTTGTGGAACTATATAAACTGACAGTTTATCATCAGTAATGGCAAGTTATCAGGTGGTAAAATGTCTTTCTTGAGCTCTTTCTAAGTGTCTTTGGGCCATTTGCAAAGTAGGTTTCCAAAGTAGTGGGTCAGTTGTCAGGTAAGTCTGAATCCTCTTCCCTGATGTTTTAGAAATCAGATTGCTTTCCAAGGGACACTCTCCCCCACCCCGTGCGCACACAGAGAGAGAGCGAGAGCTGGCAGTTATTTTCACCACATAGCTTCAGCCTCCCACTTGTCCTTTCAACAACACAACTACATGAAGCCAAAGGAAGAGGCTGATCACATCCTTCAGCTTACTCATGATTACTGTGATGGGTAGTCACCATCAGATGCAGTGCCTTTGCATGGGGGAGGGATGACACAGACCAGGAGGCTCATGCTAATCAGCACGGAGAATGTCAGGAATGAGCAAAGCCACCTTCTCCCCAACATCATTCTTTCTCCACCCACTGGTATTCCTGCCTCATTTCTGAGAGAGGGGCTATGAGAAAAAGGAAGCTTCCTCCTTCACTGCACCAAAAACTTGTGGTGACTTGCATGTTTCCACTAAGTGCACAATAGCCCATCACAGCTGGAGAAACGGTACCACTGGGAGGCCCAGCCACATGACTTGATACCCTCTAGTCTAAACAACAGAACAACAATGGATACTACTGAAGAGTACAGCAAGGGTTTCAGGGCTATAGACAAACTTATGATTAGAGGGGATTTACATTAACATGGACTGGATGAATCCCAAACCGGAATTAAGATTGACGGAAGAAATATCAACAACCTCAGATATGCAGATGATACTACTCTGATGGCAGAAAGTGAGGAGGAATTAAAGAACCTCTTAATGAGGGTGAAAGAGGAGAGTGCAAAAAATGATCTGAAGCTCAACATCAAAAAAACTAAGATCATGGCCACTGGTCACCTCCCATCACCTCCTGGCAATTAGAACGGGAAGATATGGAGGCAGTGACAGATTTTACTTTCTTGGGCTCCATGATCACTGCAGATAGTCACATCAGCCACAAAATTAAAAGATGCCTACTTCTCGGGAGGAAAACAATGACAAACCTAGACAGCATCTCAAAAAGCAGAGACATCACCTTGCCGACAAGGGTCTGCATAGTCAAAGCTATGGTTTTTCCTGTAGTGATGTATGGAAGTGAGAGCTGGGCCGTAAAGAAGGCTGACCGCCAAAGAATTGATGCTTCTGAATTGTGGTGTTGGAGGAGACTCTTGAAGGAAATCAATTCTAAGAGGTCACTGGAAGGACAGTTCCTGAAGCTGGGGCTCCAATACTTAGGCCATCTGATGAGAAGAGAAGACTCCCTGGAAAAGACCCTGATGTGGGGAAAGTGTGAAGGCAAAAGGAGAAGGGGACAACAGAGGACGAGATGCTTGGACAGTGTCATCAAAGTGACCAACATGAATTTGTCCCAACTCTGGGAGGCTGTGGAAGACAGGAGGGCCTGGAGTGCTCTGGTCCACAGGGTCACCATAGTGAAAAATAGACTTGATACACAAGATTGCTGCTTTCCTTCACTGCAAGGACTCAGAAGAGTACTCCTCTATTCATGATACACTAAATGCTTTTCAGCTGTACAAAACCTAGAGCCCAGGGTGCTTTGGAGGAAAGTGCTTTAACAGCTTAACAGACTTTGTCTGTAGTCTTAAATACCACTCTCCTCCCCCAGAACATGCCTTTCAGATGAGAGGAGTGCTTGTTGCAAAGTTGGGATAGGAGGAGGAGAATTAGTAGCAACGGAGAATTTTAAGAGCAGGAGACATCAACCACCACAGCTGTAAACGTGGAAGCTCGCCAGAGTTTAGAAATATTACCATTTTAGATCTTAGCTCCTAGACGCTCACTAGGAGATTCTGGGGGGGTACTATTCCAAACATGTAACCTTTCTAGGCTACAGCTTAGAGATAAAGAAAACACACATACCTTATTTTCACTACTGTTCCTTTTCCTTGCAATATCTCTCTTGTAAAGTAACTCCCAGACAGAAGTTCTGCATTGACAGGAAAGAAAATATGTGGGGAATGACAATTTATATGTTACATCAACAATTTTTTTGCATTATTAAAAATAAGGTCCATTGATTAAATGGGATTTACATAAGCAATGGTTTACGATTCAGAACTGATTCAATGGGCCTACGCTACCTGGGACCAGTTAGGATACTGGCTTTTTCGAGTACGACATTCTGTGGAAGAAATGGACTAATCTGCAAAAGGTCAAGTTAAAATAAATCTGTTAGTCTTTAAGGTGCTTCAAGATGCATAGTTAATGCTGGAACAGATTTGCATAACTACTCCTTTGAAAATCCATATCCTACTTTCTTAGGAAATATTACTCAATGAATCTTACACAACACTGTGATCCCCATTCTACCCATTAACGCATGCTGCTAGAAAAGCGCATCATTCAGCCGTTCTCTAACAATGCTAGGATAACTAAAGGCGTTGCATTAACTAATCCACCTTCAGTATGATCTTGTATATGTGGCTTTTAAACAAATGAAGCCAAACACAGAGAATGTTTATTGACTTTTCTCCAACTACATTTGTTCACATGAGGAAATGGAGACTCTGAACTTAATAATTTGATTTTGCATCATGAGGACTCCCTTCTTTGCCCTTCTCCTTTATCCCCCATGACTCTGCATAACAACTGTGTAGTTGAGTCTGAAGGCACAAGTAAGGAAGGGCATATAGCTAAGAGACTCCAAAGAGAGGAATGTTTGGCCAGACACAAGGTTTCTTTGTTTGCAGCATCCAAAACCTCAAATTCTGCTCTCACTTGCTCACAATGGACTGAAGAGCCAGACAACATACAGTACTATTTTTCCCACCATACATGCTTCAGATGTGTTTTGGAGAGTGTTTCAAAACAAAAAGAGCACAATATTCTAATTCGTAATTTTTTCCTAATTTACTCTTGGATGTTGTTTTGTTCAGTGAATACTCAAGAGTGTTTGCAACTAATTAAAATAGGCAACAAGGCATTTCTTCATTAGGTTACAGTAGTAACCAAATAAAAGACAACATGGAGCAGCTGTACTGCAATACAGTTATAGTTCATCTTCCCATCCTTCTGAAACACTATAGCCTATTTCAGGAATCTGAAAACCACAAAACTAACAATGAACTTCACTTTAAAGACAGAGCCACAGTTTTTGTGCCACTGGTCAGAATTCTAATGGATATGCATGCCCAGAAGAAATCACAGAAGTTGCCACAGCTAATTGATGAAGTTCCACTTTCATGTCTATTAATGTATCAGCCTCTGTGTGTTGTTTTTTTTTTTTTTTTTGTGGATGCGTAAATATAATAATAGGATATGGGCCAAAATCAAAAAGACCTCATTCAAAGAAGCCATCCATTGCCCTTTTGATGACAGGGCCATCCAGAGTTAAGCCTTCCAAGAACATCATAAGCACAGATTTCTTTATCTAATGCAACTAGAGTTCACAAACCATAGCTTGTAATTGTGTTTTGTTGCTGTCTGACAATTGAGGGAATTGTGAGAAGAATTCCAGACACAAAAGGATGCCAGAGTACAGCAAATCACAATCTGGCAAATCTGGGCAATACACATACAATCATTTCACAGGCTTTGATATTATATTCCAATTAAAGCAAAAAGCAAAGCGTGCTGCTTATATACCGCCCCATAGTGCTTCAAGCCCTCTCTGGGCGGTTAACAAGTTAATTATGCAGGCTACACATTGCCCCCCCCCCAGCAATCTGGGTAGTCATTTGACCAACCTCAGAAGGATAGAAGGCTGAGTCAACCTTGAGCTGGCTACCTGGGATTGAACCCCAGGTTGTGAGCACAGTATTAGCTGCAGTACAGCGGTTTAACCACTGCGCCACGAGGCTCATATTAAAAGTTCTGGAATTCAGAAAATGTTACTGTTTTAGATTGCATGTCTCTGAATCCTCTAGCCAGGGTAGATTATCACAGAATCATAAAATAATGGAGTGGAAGGTGTTTATAGGACAATTGAGTAAAACCTCCACTCAACAATTATGGAAATAATTGTAAAAAATCAAAAACTTTCAAAATTTTCTGAAGTTGCCCTCTAGAAAAGCTGCATAACCCCCACTGCAAATTCTACTATGAAGCAATGCGTCCAGTGAACTTCACGTAGCTACTGATTTTATAATGACGCAGAATGCTATCTGATACTAACTTCTAGTATCCTTTCTAAATGAAACTGGAATCTTAGGACTGAAATATTTCAAATGAGTTAAAGTGGAGTTAGGGAAATTTGAAATCTTAGATTTCACAAAGAAAAGCCAGATGGTGCATGTGAGCTACTCTAACCCTGACTGTTTAATAGCTTCACTGTGGTACAGAAACCGTTCGTTTTGTCTGTTTTAAATATACAGAGGAAGTGTGGATTGGTCAGTTCTGCTTCCAATCAGAATTTCCTCCCAAGATAACTCCTTTTGTTTCAGGCAATATGACTATAATGTATTTTTACGTGCAGAGTATGACTTAGTTTTTTTTTAATTACAGAAAATTATTAAAGCCAATTTTATGGATCTCAATTTTTACTTAATTAAAGTAAACTTCTAGCTCTTATGGTACAAAAAGGATTTCTAGAAACAGCTTCACTAAACAAATAAAAAGGGATACCCCCATTTTAAGTTAGTAGAAATGGGGATCCATTTAATCTTTTTAAAGATAAAATTGGTGTATGTCTCCAGCTTGAGGGGGAGAAGGAGGATAAAAGAAGTTTGAATCATTGGTCTGAGGCATGGGCATCAAGACTGATCTGTTCAGCTGGGAGGTGGTTCAATGTGTGTGCAACCCATCCCCCAGCACAAGGAATCCAGGGCTGCGCTGACCCAGATTTTCAAAAGCCTTGCAGGCCGCAGCTGATCAGATGACACTCCAGGACGACTCCCCACCCAGCCTCTTGTCTGCTTAGCCTCAGCTTCCTCTACTCATAGACGGCCTCTGCTTTCTGCTCTCTCCTCCCAGTCCTCCATCTTTTATCCACTGCTACAACTGTTCACTTGTTTTTATCCCCCTTCCCAGTGTTATCCTACTGTTTCTCCTGTAAACCACTGTCCTGTTTTTTGATGAATTAACCAAAAACTGGGGAGGGGAGGGTGAGTGGGAGAAAGAAAAAAAGAGCGCATATGCCCCTGAAAAAATAGCAGTTGCTGAGCAACTCCTGACTATTCCTACATGACAATGAAAGGCAGAAAGAACAAGCGCAAGAGAGCAGCTCATTCTCTCTTACCTGCAACAGTAATTAACTTCATACTAATTAATTCAGCCTCACTAACATTTTTCAATTCCTCTGTAATCACATTAGCTTCTGCCGATTTGTTTGTAAGCATGCATGGACAAAGGTGGGGGGGGAGGGGGAAGAAAACCACACTTTGATCACTTTTCAGTGGGCTTCACCCGGGGAACTCCAAGAAAGGGAACACTCTGCCAAAGAAGATTTGCTATTGTATACTGCTGGCTGGAAAGCTACTGAAAAATATCATGGTTAAAGGAGATTTTGCAGGGAGGGGGTGTAAATAGTCATTTATATTAAGTGAAGTCAAGTATGAATGTAATGTTGGCAGGCATCAAAGGTCCCCATGCATCTCTGGGCAAACATACAGAAACATTGTCAGAGCTGCTCCCTGAAGAAGACAGGCAAGTGGGATGATCTTTTTCACTGAGACAGAACTTGCTTAACCAAAGAATCCTCAGGCCTTCAGTATTATTCTAGCAAACAATAAATGAGATACCCAAACCAGCTTCTTTCTTGAGAAATATTTTTTGCACTTTGGATGGCTGTCTTATTTGCTACTAAAATCTAAGACCAGGTAATGGGCAATTCCCTCAAGGTATATACAGTACAGATTTAAAGAAACAACTGACTGCTGCAGATCAAAAAATTCACCACTGTTTTCTTAATCATTACTATTCACAGAAGCCACAGTCTATTTCTGACAAAACACACAACCCAGCACTGACACAGATGGACTCTTATCATTTTGAAGTGGGATACATTCACAATTATGTTTTTCTATCAAAAAAGGTTTCCCATTTTAATTACCACATGAAAAGGTGAGCACCAATAATCAAAATGGTTTGTTTAACATTGTGAAAGACAAGAGGCTAGTGAGCCGTCCTCAACCAAAAATGTGCAGGAGGAAACACATGGATGTGCAGAAGAGGTGCTTATAGAGATAGAAGGGGAAGGAGTGAAAGAAAAGAAGGCAACAGAAGTGTGTCTGGCGAAGGACAAGGAGGATGACAAAGGGGAGGAGCAAGATCTGATGGTGTGGGCGGAGGTTATAAAAGAGTGGGGTGATGCATGGGAGTTTAGAGTAGAAACAGACCAGACCCAGAAACTTAGTAGAGATTGCAGGGTGAGGAGACACCAGACAAGGTCTATGATTTGTTAAAGAATTTTCCCAACCTGAAGACTGGTGGAGGATTACTCCTGGATCCAGGCTTACCGAGACACGAGGGGAAGGGGGTTAGATCACTGGAATGGATGGTTCTAGTCTACCCCCGCAACCAAAGTGGAGTGATGAAAGTGATCCGTCCCAGTCCCTCTTACAACAATCCACCCCTCGAAGGGGACTGGGCGAGACATCCTTGTTGTGGGACAGCATGCGCGTTAAGGAGTAGCTCCTTGAGGGTGATAACCGATCGCGAACGCTTTGGTCCAGCCCCCCCAATGTAAGAAGTGACCTGTTTACGCTGGAACCTAAGATTTTAAGTTACAAGACGATACCCGTTTTGACCCATTTAATTTAGTTGAATCAGAAGTTGATATGAATAAAATTGTGCCTGTTGGATTTTCAAAACTGCTTCTGTCTCTTATTCCTGCCAAAATGAGGGAACCGTCACCAGCTCAAGAAGAACCCGATCACAAGCATGTTGTCCGAATCAGGGATCTTGGCTTATTGTATCTTTCAAGTCAGGTTCAAAGTTCATTCTTGGCTTATTAATCCTATATTGCTTATAAATAGCATGTCCATTGTA